GCAGTGCTCTCACCGTTGTTGTTTAACATCTTCCTCAGTTCGCTTCCAACACATAGCGATATTCATTTATATGTGTATGCAGATGACATTGCTTTCTTTGCGACAAACAGTGATCTGCAATTACTTTATCAGACATTACAGAATTACCTAAATATGATAGAGGAATGGCTTGAAAAAATTCGAATGTCTTTAAACATAAACAAAAGTGCGTTTCTAGCGTTCTCGTTCATGGATCCTGTCAACATCTCCTTGATGTATGGCACAGAGCTCATTCCCCAGGTCGATTCACTCAAATACTTAGGCATTGTATATAACAGCTCGTTAAATTGGAAAAGTCACATCGATCACATTGGGTCCAAAGCAACACGAGCCATGGGGTGGTTACACAAGCTCAGCAACATAAAAAGGGGGTTGCGAAGAAATACACTGGTGATGGTCTATAAAATGTACATTCGTCCTATCATGGAATTCGGCTGTGTCTTATTTTCGGGCAGTGCCACATATAAAATGAGACCGCTAATACTATTAGAAAGGGAAGCTTTACGATTGTGCCTTAGACTGCCCAAGTTTGTTGCGAACAATGTGCTATACATGAAAGCGCGTCTGCCTTCATTGTTGAATAGGTTCAAAATACTTAATATCCAAACATTTTTAAAACTATACACTTTGCCCCAGAGAGAATCGTTCTATGTTTTTATTGAAGAGCCAAGCTTATTTTTTTGAAACTCGGTGGTCGCAATTTTACTACCCACAGATCATGTTTGTTCAAGCGTTGCTAGAACCACTGAACGTCAAAATCAAACATATTTTCTCAACAAGCAACTTTTAGATCTTCAGATAGAATCTGAGAATATTTAGCCCCCTAACGCGAAGCAAATGCCATTTTAATATTTAAATGATCGGCTTCAGGATTACTTGGCACACGTGAACATGAACAACATAATTATGACTGATGCATCCGTATCAAATGAAAAGGCTGGGGCAGTAATCTTCTCACGTTCCCTTGACTGGTCCTTTTCGGTAGACTTCCACATTCATCAATATTTATAGCAGAATTATTTGATATTGTACTGGCACTACGGAAACTTCTTTTGGGCAAATCAGAAGCAGTCGTAATTACATATTCTTTTTCGGTATTTGCTCCTCTGTCTTCGGGAGCCAACTTAACACTTATAATATGCACATGTTTCGACAACTCATACCGACTAACTTGCAAAAACTGCAGCTGTTATGGGTACCAGGCCATCGTGGCATATATCTCAATGAGATGGCGGATGCACTAGCCACAGTATCTCTTAGCGGTCCCCATATCCCGATTTTGCCTGATACGGCTCATGCGATAGTAATAAGGTTCAGAAACCTCTGTTTGCATGAATTCAACTCCTACTCATTGGATAAATTTCGATATTTTGCACATCTAAGATGCTGCTGGAATAGACAGTGGTGTGCAATACGACAATGGGAAGTTACTTATATACCAGATTGTGTTGTAGAATTTCGCAACCAAATTATTATTTGCATAAAGTTGGTCTAAAGGCGTCACCTTTATGTCAGGTTTGCAAAGAAATGGAAACGATAGATCATTCTTTTTTATTCTGTCGCCGATATTCTCATTAGCGGAAAAGATACCTGGTTGCTCCACTTGAAAAATTAGGATTAGAATTGAATGTGGCAGTAATTTTATCGTTTGGCCGCATTAAATTTGGTTATAGCCACAGGGACGTCTGCTTTGCAGTACATATTTGACTACATAATTAAAACAAAGCGATTGCCATGTTGAAGTGCCTTTTTATATATATATCATTTGTTTTAGACCCACCATTACCTCTGTCTCAAATCACATCTGATAGCCTGCAGCGATCCCTGCTCAAATATACTCCTTTTTCAACTCTTGGCTTTTCTTTCTATATATATATATATTTTTTTTTCAGTCCAAAATTACTTTGTGTTTGTAAAACCATAAGCCTTTTACTTAAAGATCCTGCCGCCCAGTTCTTGGCCGATCCCTCTTTGTGGGTGTGCACCAGAATAACAAGGACCATCATCATCGTCATCATCATCATAGCTGAACAAGAACAATCTTTTGTAGTAGGTTGGAGCATTGGATGACCAACTCATTACGCTATTTGCATTGTGCGACGACTGGTTGTTCTTTCGCTGTTTTAAAACGATTTATAAGTTGTATTAACGCGATTGCTTTCCCGACATCAACCGTGCCTAAGACAATTTTGCCAACAAGTCCCGGTGTGGCTCAGTGGTAAAATACTGGGAAGGCACCCAGCGGACTCAGGTTCTAGCCCCATTGTGTCATTGGTGCTTTCTAATTTCGTGCGATGTGGTTACGGACAGCGGTAGCAACGGACAACTGTACTTACGTGACCCAAGTTGTGATCTAATAACAACTTTCACTGTAAAACTTGTTCAGTACTGCTAATAATGTAGGAAGGTTGTGTTGGACTCAAAATAAACGTTAATTTTAAGCTATTTTCAAGCTCACTTTGATTAAGCGAATACAGGTCGGTGACAGTGCCGACGACGGTGTTTCGAGAGTACTATATGCCAACATATTCTGGATGACGATCGAGTCTACGTACTCCCTTCCACACAATATGTATGAATAAAGGTGTGGAAAGTTGGTACTGAAATAACAATCAATACGACTGTGAAAGCGAGTGAAGGAACATTTACAGTTCAAAGGAGAAGATCGGTGCTAGTTAATGTAGAAGGCCCCTTATGTAATGCCCCTCCAAGAAAAGGGGGACCATTAGGGTAATAAAGTGAACTGAACTGAATGCGTATGAAAGCAGTTCCTTATAGTTGCTTATAAACACGCAGGAGCCAGCTGTTTGTGACATGCATATTTTGAAATAATCCGTTAAGGAATTGTAACACAGCCAGAGAAAGAGACGATCAACACAACAGATGAAGTATGCTCTATCAAACGATTGATCCAGTTGGCAGGTTCAGCAAGGTCGACCATTGGGCGAGATTAGGATCATCATCAACTACGTGTAAAGTACTGCACAGAACATGAATGCAGCATGCGGATAAAATGCTAAGTACGTAATGTCTTGTATTTCCTCCGCTTTGTCATGCACTCGCCAGACAATCAAACCGAGTAATCTGCGCCTTACTTTGCCCGTTTTCTATCTTCGACTAAATTCAACAAACTAGATCTAGATGCCGATTTTTCAGAACAGTGTTTGAAACAGTACATCACTAAGGCAGCTTGCTGTGCGAGTTCCTTCATGGTATTCAGAAGAGGAATCCAACGAAAGACACGAATACAGCAAAGGAGAACAACCACAGAGAACAAGCGCTGGACTTCGAACACAATGTTTATTGCAGAAAGCCCCCTCACACAGAACCCAGCAATGCATGCATAAATGGGCTATCTGAGTGATTTCACAGTTGCACACCTAACAGTGCACAAGTGTTAAGGTGTAACAAATAGCACATTATCATGAAACGCAGGAGTATCGACGCTACTGTGCAATAACTATGTAGCAACGCAAATTCTCTATTTGTAAGGAAAACTGATGGATGATTTACACATGACGCTTTGCAATGTTTTGTTTTATTTTGAAGGTTTCAAATACTTTACATTCATGCTTATTTTTTATTCCTTTGCCAACGACTCAACAAATCAATAAGTGTTTCACACTTATTGATTTGAAATCAGGAATGTAGAGCCATTGCAGTGCAGAGGTGAGTTTCCACAAGTACTTGTAGGGAGTATAATGCGGTGTTCACGCAGTCTGTCATTGAAGCTGATCGGCTCTTCTAACCTTTGTAGACACAGCCGCATGACAAGGAAATTTCGAAACTCGCGTACGTCTGCGCTGCAAAGGCTGTAGCTGCGTGCCCCTGATTTCAAATCAGGGTGTCAAAAAAGAGAAATTGAGAAATAACAATTACTATGAAAGTTGCAAAGCGTATCAATATAATAAAAAAGGCAATGTGACATATGTGATGCGAGCCCCCCAGCTTTTAGTCAACGAGCGCACGTTGCGTTGATATTTTGGCTTTGTGTAAATGCGCTGTTTGCGGCACCTTGACATGCTTAATTCTTGGTTTGTATTATTAAATGTGCAACATATATACTAGGCTCAGGTAGCCCATTTATGCATGCGCTGATGGTTCATGCGTGTGGGGGATTTCTTTATTAAATATTTAGTTGTCAGTCCAGCACTTGTCCTGTCTGGTTCCTTCGCTGTTTTCGTGCTTTTGGATGGTTTCTTATAAAGCATAGTTCGCTAAAGACCATCACTTTTATCGTCATGCGAGTGACGTAACAACTGTCCTCACACCCTTCCTCTTCTCCCGATAACTTCCTATCATGCGAATATACGAATTGACTTCATTAATGCAGAACGTGATCTGTTTCACCATTCTTCCACAAACTATACAGACCGATCGACCTCCTTTCAGAATTTGTACGAAATATTCAGAAAGATAATCTGAATTGTGCATAGTGTTTTACCGTAGATCATAGTTACGCGAGTAATCAAAGAATTGATAAAAATGCCAAATAAAAAAAGAACCCCCTATATGACAGATTACGAAACGGCATTAAACTCTGTAGAGATATATCAGCGGTTCTAGAGGTTGTTGAAGTGTTGTGTCTGTTGTTCTGGCACAGGAGATTCATAAAGATGGGGTCGAGGCAGCTTGAAGATACTGAATTTCCTTCAGTAGAAGGAAACTTGATGTTTATTTAGAATAATTACAAGACAAGCATTTTGCTACATGACGGACATATCGTGAAACCAGACGAAGATGTCTCCATTGAGCCCTCGCCGCGAAGCAATAACTCCAGGAGGGTGATTCTCGCTCACATTGACTACTTTGATGCACACGTCAACGCTCCGTACAACATCGCTTTCTGGGGAATTCTAGGGACGGTGCAGCGTCAACCACGAGAAATCATGAGCTCGAATATTCCCTATGAGGCGATGCCAAGTTTTCCCAGTTTACCTACAGTTCCTGCCGATCTCGCAACAAGTGAGCTTCGCGTTCCCATCTCCCGAGTTGTTTTCTGTCGAACGCTCTCGATGGACGGCAGTGAAAGCGCCGGGGCGCGCGCTAGCACCTCCACGAGACTTGACAAGATCTGCACTTTCTGCGACAAGGCTTTTTCAACTGCAAGCAATTTAAAAAGGCATATAAAAAATGTCCATAGAGAAGAGGCCTTGGCAACAGCAAAAACAAAGGAGTGCGGTGAAGGAAGGACTATCGCGTGCGACTTGTGTCCAAAGTTTTTTTTGAAGCTTCTAGATCTTCGGCAGCACCATGTTCACGAACATGGATTTAAAGAAGAAGTACAAAACTTCACGTTTGACTCGTATAAAGGTAAGAAACCCACACCGTGAATGTCGAGCCACATGTGCATGCATCAGCTAAACGCACTTCCTTTTTCTTTAGCATATTAGGAGGGTACGTCTCTGACCCCTCGCCAGTAGGGACAAGAAATGTGGGACCCCCTGTGCAAGAATGTAGGGTTTGCGTTGGCAAAATGTAAATTGCGCTCGTAAAATATACAGGGGGCCATGCACGGCATGCAACAATGTCATTTAGGCCTGGCTCATAAATATGCGCGTGTTTTGTTCGTCATTACTCGGTGTTGAGGGCGGCCTGCACGATATATCTCGCGCTATGAGATGGGCGCTGATACTTTGTACGAGAGCACCATCTGGAAACTTTTGGCTGCTCTGCACGTGCCTCCTTGCACCTTGAACCTCATGCTGATGTCTGTCTCAGCAGACCACCGAGACTGTTCAGAAAAGCTACGATTGTTTTTATGTCGCGAATATTTCATACACGAGAAGTGCCGACGCTTCTTTTCACTGTGAACTATTTTACGTTAGATGCCGCAAAGCAACTAGGCAGAGCATGGGGATGGCTTGTTTCAGCTAGATCAACATGAATTGAAAAAAAAAATTGCATTAAACATCACTTCCCTCAAAAAGGAGAAAGTAGCCCTACTTATAGAAGACTATAAAAAGCTTCTTAAAACCAATTATGTGTGTGTCCTCACGCCATCGAAATAGTGATATTTCAAAAGTAAACAAGGGTCTTCTTTTGAAGTACAAAAAAACTGTGTTTGATTCTCTAAATTAGATTACATGTTATGGCAATAAAGGCCGTGGATCGTAATGCGTGTGGGTAACATAGCTAAATAGACATTTTTATAGAGCTCCTTACTGTCCCTGTAGATTAAATGAGGCTTCGACAGACATTCTATGGATTGTGCTACAGGAAAACACACAGTTCACTACGTTTACTAGCAGACATACCTATCAAAATGCTTTGCGTTTTCAGAGTTGAAATGTGGCACTGATAACACAATGTCAAGAAGTTCAAGTCTCAAAGCTTTTGCGGTGTTTTAATACCAAACAGTACAGGTCCAGAAGATCATCACTTTATTGGCATGAGAAATTTACCATATGACATTTGAAAAATATTGTTGAAATGTTAACTCATGAAACATATACATGCCAGTGAAGGCATGCCTGTATCACAATAATGTAATGACAAGACTTCAGCAGTTCTCAGAATCTTCCAGCCCAATTAAGCCAACAAGCGAAGCAGTGCAAAACACTGACACAAAGAGATGAAGGAGTCATCTTTTGGGGCGCTTTCTTCAGTTTCACCACTTTCACACAGCTACAAAGGTGGGTCACTGACAATGCTAGAGTCTCCATCAGATCTTAATTGTAAGAGAGATACCTTTCAAACATACTGCAGCAATGTCTCTTAGTAAACTAGCTCAAGACTTCTGAATCAGTGCCCATGCTTCAGTAGATACAAAGCGGAAGGATCCCCACCAGACTTTCACCTGTCTGTGTCAATGGTGGGAATGTTATAGTGTGATGCAAGGAGGAAAAGCTCATCTCTATCTCAACACCTATACATAGTACAATCCCTCCACTGCACAAGGCGGTCTTACAGTTCAGAAACATCTTTATCAGTATTGCTGATCAAAATGCCAATGTTTTGCTGTCTGTGCATTCCTCTTGCATTAAATAGTGGTACCATTTTTACAACCCTATATTGAGTGACGGCAGGTCTATTTCCTTAATGAGCAAGTGCTGCCTTAGCTTCTCTAGATCAACAGAGCTAATAACAGACAACAACATTCACAGCGGTGCACTCCTCTCTAAGTACTTTTGGTGAAACGAGTTTGTCTCTTAGATCACATTATTGAGAAAGGCTTGCATCCCAAAATGACACGTTCACACATTATGATGAAAAGCCAACTTGTAGCGTTGTGAAGCCTGTGTTGGCAGAGTTAGTACATCAGCCATCTGAAATCACTTGCAGAACTCCATGTCGATAAGTTTGTGCACGGACTTGAGATAAGTGATGATTGTGTGAATGATATTGTATGCATCAGCTTTTTTATCTCATTTTTGAAGCTTTGTTACAATTGGTAAAATCATGTTCAGTACATTCCAGAGGATGAATTATGATCAATTATGTTTGCAGCCAGTTAGATAAGCACCAAGCTTGGGAAAATGAGCTCGAGCTGAACTTCTCGAGGTCTGTGTAAAAACCATGTGCCTTTGGTGCTGCTATTGTGATAGAAAGTGAATGAAAGGTTTCCAGAGCAGTATGTCATTCCAAAAGTCAGTGCCGAGCACTTTAGCAATCCTGTTTGTTGCTTAAAAGTTGACATCTGCAGAGACACTGAATTTAAATCAATGATAGTGGTGTAACTGTGGTTTTAGAGCACGAAGGAACATAAAAGAACACGGAACAAGCGCTTTGTGTTTCTTCGTGCACTTAACCCACAGTTGCACCATGCATATCCAACTAGCCCAACTTTCAATTCTGTTGCAATGAGTGTGGCTGCATGCACAGTATCAAAAGGAATTTCCCTCAAAGGCACTCTTGTATGCTGATGACATAGGTGATTTTCCATCATACGAGTGTCCATGAACCGAATGTGACATCCAGTTGATGCTCAAAATGATCTGACTTCTAAGAATTTGTGATGCAACTTTTTCTTGAATCGAATATCTTGTTATGCTCATCACATCATCTTGGGTGCTTCCTCGAGATGCTGCTTCAGAAAAAGACCGTGCCTGTCAAGACAAGTCAAAATCACTAGGATGCTGTCCTTGTCTGCAGAATTGCTTGACCAACTGTCCTAGTGGCCTTGAAGAGCAAGCGTATGCCCAGTAAAGAAGCACTGCTACTTAATACTCTTTAGGATGTGCAAGTTCTTTCAAAGAGCACTTGGTTTGATTGTGAAGCAATAGTGTAAATTGTTTCAGCTGGGACGATATTTTCTAGCATCATTGCATCTCCATAGTTTACGCAGAGCTGACGAGAATGAAGACTTCCTTCTTTCCCACACAACTTGAACAGGTTCGTGAAAGCAGTCGTGACAAAAATGTCTGCATAATAAGAAGGGTGCTGTACCTTTGGGAAAAATAGGACTTAAATAATCCACCACTCAAATGTTTCCTGTAAACTAGCCTCTTCAAAAGTTGACCAGTTTTTCGGAGACATTCTTTTTGACACCACTTGTGCAAGAATTACCCCTGCTTCGTCAGAACCAACAGATTTCTCAAAATACCAAGTGTTTATCATCAGACTGTACCTTCAGGTGGATAGTCCTGTCAGTAACATATGCAATGTCTCGGCCTGCTTCAGACCATCGGTATTCATGACAAGGTCCCTCCATTCCACCGGAGTTCTGGAACTAGCTGAACATTGATCGATACATTGTCCACACTGTTATTCAGGTATATGAGTAATGTCCATGTGTGCTGTAAACAAACAGTATTAATTATTGGGGTTTGATGTTCCAAAACCGCAATATGATTATTAGAGAGGCCGTAGTGGAGGGCTCTGTAAATTTCGGCCACCTGAGGTTCTTTAAAATGCACTTAAATCTAAGTACACGGGCCTCAAGCATTTTTACCTCTATCAAAAATGAGGCTGCTGCAGCCATGACTCGATCCTGTGACCTGCGGGTTAGCAGTCAAGTACCATAACCAGTAGACCATTGTGGTGAGTTTGTAAACAAAAAGTGAACATTGCAAATATGTAAGCATAATAGAACTCTGGCGTCGGAAAGTAAACAAATCTCTATAGCACTACTAGACTATGAACACACCACTGTTTACACTGCCTCATTACACTGGATCACGAGCTGCCATCAGGGCATTCAATCAGGTCATCTCAAAAATGACATGAGGGTCCTTAATGCAGGCCTTTACAGGATGAAATTCATCAAATTCTCTAGTTCTCAGCTTACTAGTGTCTGGACGTAATGCCAATTGAACTGAACCCCTATTAGATTGCTCATAATCGAGCATGAAGATTCATAATCGTGCTGCGGCAGCGTGGGGCCCGGTAATGGTTCGAAAACAGCCAGAGTTAGGCGATCCGCTAGTTTACTTTCATGAGATTACCTTGCACTACAGGGAGACTAGCTGGGTGTTCCATCTCTTCACCATGAGCTTAGCAGACCACTATCCAGTTAAATTCGAAATGCTGCAAACAGGTTGATATCCTTGAAGGAGCTTCCCGAGTATGATAAATATGGAGATGAACTCAACATAGACTCAACAGATTGCAGAGTGGTAGCTCATTCAAACACATGCTCTGGCAATGCCTTGCATTGCAGGTCTGCAGTCATGGAGACTGGTGGACTGCTGCAATCAACGACACCAGCTATTGCAACTAGATCCTGGCTGTTGTGTTGTGAAGGACCGGACATGGCAGAGCGGCTCGGCATTCCCGTTCTCACATGGAATCAGCCGAATTTTATATGTATAAATGCCTCGTACTGTTCACTCTGGACCAAATAAATGTTTTTTCTCTCTCACACTGTTTTTTTTAAAGACACGCAGACGAGAATATACTACAGCCATGCTGTCTGTGTCTTCAACCAACCACGGCTGTGACCAAAGCATCAATGTACAGTCGTCAGCAAGCTTATCACGAACGCTCAGATCCGTGACCTGGACTACTTTGACTAATGCCAGCCGCGAAGCGCTGTTGCCGAGGTATTAGCGAGGTATGCTTGGAATGTATTTCGGCATTAATTGGTAAAGTATCGGCAGCAGAACCAAAAGCTACGCGGCGCAAGCGTCAAACTGTTTCAGAACACGCGGAGAAGCATTCATGTTAAACTTGCTGACGACTGTATACAGTCCAAATCACACTTGTCTAGGGCAACCAGTCGGCCGCTTAAGCCACAAATGTGTGAACACCGACGCCGTTATTATATAAAAAATAATCATACGCCAAGCTAGGACGTTGTGCAATACATCAAGCATGAGAGGAAGCTTTATGCGAGGTGACAGCTGCGGACGCTGCCAACGACCTCAGCCGCGAACAGTGTGTTTGCATGTTGTATGCATGCTGTCGTCTGATCGGCAGGTCGTCGCTTTCTGTTAGCCATTCACTCAAACTAATCGCCACCTTTCTAAACGAACGCGTTAATGCAGTCGAGCATACATTGAGCACTTACATTGAGAGTACAAATAGTTCGCAGAGTTTGCGAGAATCACGTCCCTGAGAAAATCAACATTAAACGCATCCAAGTCGGACGAGGTTCATCAAATCACATGTTTGTACTTACTAGCTTAGTTGTCATGTTATACTCGTTGGCGCGCCGAAGATCCATTATGTTGTGACATTCTGATGACAACGTGATGTCAGAGCAAGGGCACAAAGCATCGAAACGCGTCTTGGAACTTTCGTTGGGCATATTTGCGCAACAGACGGTTGGTTGGTTGGTTGGTTGGTTCCTCAACACCTTGGCGCAACCCACCTAGGGGGATAGGCCATGAATGGGACGGTGCCTTGCTTTTCAAATTATTTCACTTCTTGAAAGAGAGGGTTGTATTACTTAGGTAATATAGGTAATAATAAAAAGGTGTCAAATTTAGACGGTTTCGCTACTTTAGCTTCGCGCGCTTTTCTCTCTTCGTCATTGAACGTATGGATGGATAAGGCTTTGATTGGACGGTAGCTCACGTCACCTAATGCCCTATTATAAGTGCCAAAGCAACAAATTTACAAGAAAAAAAACTTTTTTTTTAATCTTTTAAGGCAAGGTTGTTGCATAATGCCAGACTTTGGGGTGGCTGTTGCCAGACTGCCACCAAATTTAGTGAATAAATTTGCTTCTGTAGTTGTAGCTTCTCCGTGAGGGTTTGGTGTCGTCCGCGGTGCATTTTTGCAAGTGCGTGAGCTACGTTGGCCGTTTTAATTAACAAAATGAACGTAAAACGAGTGTTCCAGAAGTCGGGGCGCGTTCTCTTGCTGTGTGCGCTGTTGTGCAATTAAGAGATCGTGTCTCAGAGTTAGGGAATCAACGACGCGTCGTCCGCCGTGCATTTCGCGAGTGCGATGAACTTTTTCGCGAGTGTGTGTGCGACGTAATTAACGTAATGAACCGCGCGTTACAGAAGTCGGGGCCAGTTCTCTTGCTATGTGCGCAGCTGTGCAATTAAGCGATTGCGGCTCAGTATTAGGGACGACGGGGAAAACTGAATAGAGTCGCAGCAGGCGGTGCGCTGCCCCCCCCCCCCCTTTTTTTTTTTTTCACAGCTGATCGTGCCGCGTCAACCGCGTGCCACGACGGGGACGCTACGATTCCCCTAGCTGTATCAGCACAATACATATAACGCTTCTCCGCGTGTTCTGAAACAGTTTGACGCTTGCGCCGCGTAGCTTGCGCCCCGGAAAGCGTCCCTCTCCGAAGATGCAGTGCCCAGTATTTCTCCGGACTGCCCAAGCTATCTCTCGAAAGAGGAAAAACAACGCAAGAGGCCAGCCGAGAGACTTCACGTTAACGAGACTTTCAAGAAGCACTGAAAGCAAAGCCAGGAACTCTGTGGCTCGCTTTCTCAATGCTTTTTATTACGGATCCCCCCGAAAGTGGTGCTACTGCTTCGGACATGCTCTTGCATGATTGTACCTCGGCACCCCTCGCAGTGCTGTCGACTTTTGATGAACTGTTTAGAAGGCCAGCATGCGTTGAGCTTCCGTCCACAACTTGGAGTTTTCACCGACTGCAGGCTGACGAGCTTCGCAATGTTGTGTTCTCAGAATTGCGGCGTGTTCGAGAACCGCAGTGCGCTGCTGACACAAGCCACATAGTGCCGTGGAAACTGCTTGACATTAATCAAGACATGCGTAGAAGTAGAGTTTCAAAGAAGTTGCACGCAAAGGAATGCTTACGAGCTCACCATTGATCATATATTAGATAACAACTGGCTCTCATTTCCTTGCATCACCCACAGAGATGAAGTAATTGCTAAAATCTTGCATTATTATGTGGGTCTTCGGATGAGGCAGTATTGTAAGCAGAGAAAAGAAAAGGAAAACAAGATACACAAGCTCAGAAAACTGTCAACACTTGTGACTGCTCAAGCGTCCTAAACAGAGTATTTGGCTTGGTGTTTGAATGTGTGTGATTTCCTCAACCTTTCTTGTTGCGTACATTTTTCTGTAAAACAGTGCAATAAACATGTATATGTGCGAACAAGCTTATTGGGCATGAATAACTGTAAAAACATGTTTAAAAAGTAACAACGCAAAACTGAAGTAGATATCCGATTCATGTGTGTGCCCTAGTTCAGCGAAATTAAAATTTCCTTCGTATGCCGAAGTCACCGTGACCGTGGTAGATAGCACTGGTGCACCGCAACATTTAATTGCCACTATTGCTGTTTAAGTTACTCGCAGAGGTGGTTGCCTCTTCGCGACAAATTGTTGAAGCTACAGTCGCTGTCGCGTCCCAAATTGCGTGCATTCGCTTCGGCCTTAAAATTCACATACCAACTCGAGACGTCCCAAAGAACCTCAGTTCTTTTGAAATGGTATTTTCATTTGAAGCGACCCTGAATTCATGCTACCGAAATTCAAGCACGCACTGTGTACGGAACAGTGCGAGGCGCATTTCATGCCCGTGGCAACTGAAGACCCGCAGTACATGGCCCCTGTTCGCGATGCGCCACCTACGAGCGCACACGTCCGGCCGAACCAAGTTTTGCCGCGCTTGCCCGCCGCGTTGAGTCACCTCTCCTTCCTACACCGTGACGCAAATAGAGTTACTGTATATGTTACTTTAAAGGTAGCATATACAGTAACTCTAAGTGCAAAAATGATTATTGTAAGTTTTTTAATTAATAATGACGCACTGATTCTGCCAAGTGGTGCACACCAAATAATGGTGCCTTTATGAGCATTGTTGCGTAACTATTTAAATAAGGGGCTCGGTGAGCTTGCTAGGAGTTTTAGCTGCACCGACACTTTTCTGTTACTCGCCATAACTTCTATTTCCACATACGTAGTTGCCATGTACACCGCATTTACGACCTGACAGATACTGTTTTGACGGAGCACGTTAAAAAATTGACAGTGTGGCCTGGACGTTCGGACCTAATCCCATGAAAATGCACTGCAAGCTGGCACGCGATATTGACGCGAAATTGTTCTGGCTAGAGTAGAAGTCTCTCAATTATGTAAAATTTGTAAACAGCTGTCATTCTTGTCCAACCTCCCAACCACTTAAAATAAGGGTGTTCAAGAACAATCGTATTTAGTCCTATTGCCACCACTGTTTTGCATTATTAAAGAAACAAATTACCTAAGGAATGCATACGGGGCATTATTTGTTTGTTTTTTTAACCAGAGTACAATAATTCTCTTAAATTGAAAGGAATTAAAGTGGACGAAAAATAGCAGCGATTTTTCATCCACTTTAATTGCTTCAAACATATAACAAAACTTCGCTTGGGAATATTCCCAGAGGTACTACAAGATTCTGATATCACTCATGGCAGGAATTGCAGATGGTGGCTGTCGTACCGCTTGCCTGAGAACGTATTAAATTTAGAAACATAAGGGCATTGAGACTGCTTCCTTGGTGCTATCTTAGACCACCTACTCAGATGGAGTCTGCATGTTGCTGATCTAGCAAATCAAGTGAACTCTACCATAAATGTTATTCATCGCATAGCGGGAACAAAATGGGGTGGTACATCTGCGTTTCTATTCCACATCCATTCTGCAGTCATCTGACTGAAGATTTCCTACGTCATGCCAGTTCTCCACAACATCTCTCAGACGTCTCTACACCGACTTCAGCTGTTACAAGCACGAAGCTTACGCATATGTCTGGGGGTTTCACAGGCAACATCAAGTTCTCTGACATGGGCAGAGGCATGAGAAGCCAACTTTATAGCAATTCGAAATGTGGAGACCTGTCGGAACCTGTTTTGCCTAGACACGCAACACCCTTCACATCCACTCATATGAAATATTGAGAACTGCGCCGGAGTGCAGATATACTATGGTACCAACACTACATTTCACGACTTCCTGTGTGAGCACATTGGCAAATAGACCTAAATTACCCGCCATGGCTGCTTGAGCTTCCAACTATTGAAACGTCAACAAAAGGACTTCGCAGCAAGCATGAAGTGCCAATCATTGCCGCACAGCAGTTGACATCACATCATGTGTACACCGACGGCCCCGTCGCCAAAAAGACTGGGACATCAGCATTTAATATTCCGGAGTTACGTGAAGAATATGCATTTCTCCTCTTCAACAACACTGAAGCTCATAGCAATTTTGTTAGCCATAAGCTTTATTATATCAATGACACCAAAAAAGTAGGTCATAATTACAGATTCTCTGGTGGCACTTGCATGTGTGGAAATTTCCACTTTCAAGACGTAATGTTGTTGCGAGTCGCGGCGACCGCAGTCTGCGGGTAGCGGGGCCGATCGCCGTCGCTCCGTCGAGCCAAGGACTAGGGGAGAGCTTTGAGCAAACTTAACGGATTTATTTACATCTT